AAAGGTTGTTTTCGTAAATTCATCTCGTCGGTCAACCATTGATAGAAAACCAAGTGTTTCAGCCCGAGCCCGTCGGCTGACAAAAGCCGTATAACAATGACAATTGACATGAACAATAAAACAAAATTTCCTACATCCGTCAGTTGCCATTTAGGTTATCGGTTTGGTCCGAAAATTAACTTTATAAAGAAAATTTCTATTAATAAAGTGATTAAAAAAATATACTATAGGTAATTAATCGATAAATTTTGTAATAAAATTTTATTAAATTATTTATTTTTTATATTTAATAAAAAATCAATAAATAAATTGTCAAATAAATTTTATGTATCAAAAATTAAGAAAAAAATATTTTTTTAAAGTATAAAAAATTTACTAATTAAAAATTATATTTAAAAAATAAAAATTCAAAATATTAAAAAATATATAAATAATTATTTTTATTTATTATTATAATATATATAATTTTATAAAAAAATTAAAAACCTTAAAAAAAAGCTTTTTTTACCTAAACACCCAAAAAGAGAACCAATTCTCAATTTAATATATACTGATATTTCTCGAGGGAAATAAATAAATTAAAATACTACTCGTATTTTTTTGTTTGAATAAAAAAAAAAGAGGGGAAGGGTAGGGCCCACCGGCTGCAATCAAGTGAAGTAGAATCCACGAGCTGCGATATAGTACGTCCACGTGGTCACCTTAGCGCCGATCCAGAAGCTTGGCAGTTCCTGGTTCCACCACGTGGCTTGCTTATCTGGCGGGTCCCACCACTGTTACCTTGATTTTCCCATACCCTTAAAAAGAAAATTATGTAAAATCAAAATAAATTATTTTTGCGTAACCATGGTTAATTAACTGAGATGGAGTACGCGGGATCGTGGTTTGGTTAGGGAAGGGTTGTGGTTGTTGTCCACCGCTTCCTCGGTTTCTTAGGGTCTATTTTGGTCGGTTACTCAGGGACCCACACAACGTGGTGGTGGTTAGTGGTCCTCCAATTTCGTGGCGAGTCATTTTGATTTTTGAGAGCTTCGACACCTTTTTTCTTTGTGAACACTAGAAAAAAAAAAAAAATACTTCCATTGGGACTTCAAAAAAATGACATTTTTTTTAGCGCAAATGGTCGTGGATGAAAAGTATAACAAATACTACTCTAGCATTGACAAAAGTGTTAATAAAAGAACTGGTTCTTTTAG